AAGAATACTATATAAGGAGGCCGATGTGGCTGAGGAAGATAGGTTCTTCACACTTTGTTCTAAGTAATTTTCCTACTTATTCCTTTAACGAATATAAAACATCTTTATGATCTTTATCTTTATTGTAATGTTATCATTACACCAAGGAAAGTTCTTCATGAAGGAGAGTTAGAGAAAGCTTATGATAGGCATTCCCGATAGAAGACAAAGGTCTTCAACTATTGGTAACATAGGCAAAGGCCTAGTGCTATCGTAAGACTAAGGAAAGAAACAGAAGAAGAGAAGTATCGTTCCCCGTTGCCAAGAACTAACTATCCAAGGAGGGATCGTTATAGCTGGTCGGAATCTTCCTCTACCTCCTGCTATCTTAGCAGGGGGTGCACTATATCTGATGCACCTGCCCCTCTTTAGGACCAATATTGGATTAGCTTTTACACAACCAGTACTACTCTATGTTCTTCTGATCGTTATTGTTTCCGGGTTTCCTTTGTGCCTTCAGGCTGAAATTTTTCTGGCAAGATTTTTCCATGTGGCTTCCTGATTATCTTGGGTTGGGTTGCTCTTAGAACTGAGTTTGCTTGTTTTGTAAGAATAGGCTTGATTCAGGGCAAGATGTGTAGTTGGCTCCATATCAGTGAGGCTTGATACTCTCTGTTTTTGCTTAAGACAGTGGAGGGATGCGTGCTTTACAGTTTTGTTTATGCCATAGCTCATGCTGCATGCGAGCTTTTGTACCTTTACAACAAATACATGATAATATTATTATATAAAAAAAAATAGAAATAAAAATGACACAGTATGTGAGAAGTTGTGGATCGCTGACAGGATCCTTCGATCATGTTTCATTAATACAACTATATTCATAGTTAGCTCAGTGGACAGAGCAAGTAGAAGTGGCCCATTAAGGAGACAGAGTTTTTGGCCCTACCTCACCACTTTTCCTAGAACCATAAATTGATACCCCATTACCACCACCACCGCAACCCTTGCGCGGAGCCCTCATTCTCAGAAAACCCTGCTGTTACTAGCGATGAGATAGCAATCAAAACCAGAATTCTAGTTTGAAAGAATATCTGGAGGCCCATAAACTACAGAGTAGGTAAAGTTCTGTGTCTAACATCAAATTGCCATTTCACCAACACTCTGCCCCGAGACCATAAGCTTGTGATTTTCTTTGTGTCAAATGCCTAGTCTCCCGTATCATTGTTTTCACCTTATAGCTGAGAACTTGCGTAGCAACCTTTAAAGAGCTCATAGAGCGCACCGGCTGGGGGTTATCGCAACCCAAAATTGATCTGGATCATCTCTACGATTGGTATAACCCGCCTGAGGCTGGTATCATACCGAAGAATGGGTTTTCGAAGATCATAGGTGTAAGCAGTAGCTAGGCAGCGAAGAATCCGAGCTTCCACGACCCCGTGATGGCCCTGGAACAGGAAAGACTATGTTGGCTAAGTGGGTTGCAGTTGAATTTCTCCAAGTACTCGGCGATCCTTCCAGGAAGGTTAGATTTAAATTTGTGTACCACTTCGTCTCGCCGGAACTTCCCGCAGGCGGGATACCCGTTGATGAGGCCGAGTCACCGCAACGCAGGTTTGCTAAAGTAGACTGGGACTTACTTTATGGTATTCTCCAGCAAGATTGGAAACTTTTCGATGTCTGGAAAGCCGAACTTGAAAACCAGGGGGGAGAAACTTTCACCAACCCGCATTATCTATGGAAGGTTCTAAGAAAAGCGATCCAGTATGGCCACACAGGCACCGCATTCATTCTTATAGACGGGGTGAATTGGTTTAGGAAGAGCTTGTGTGAAGAATTGGTCCAAAGGATTCTATGGCTCACGGATATCTGCAGGGTCAAAATATTTCTCTCCTGTCGGGATGTACCCCACATTTCAAATAACCTTTCTCTTGGTGCCAAGATCAACCTCGATACGAACAGTTTTCTGAAAGAGGACGTGGAAGCTTTTATTAGAAGGGTGGGCGCATTCGGGGAGTGGAATGTCGATCAGAAGGGCAGCACAATTGGCGTCATCGGAAGGCATATTCCTCTAGGCATCGTTGGCAATTAAAAATTTAAAATGCTTTAGTACAGGCCCTAATTATGAAGAACCTCTCAGGGAACTTCCATCGGGGTTTAAAGATGTATACCGAAAAATGGTATGCGGTGTCTACTCACGGGGAGGATCGGAGAAAGTTCTGAACGCCCTCCGGCATGTGGCACTAGCCCGCTTACATTTGGCCAACTTAGATATATCCTTGCATGTACCGAAGAAGCAAGAACTAGACAATAGCCCTCTCGCGTGAGGACGGGCCCCGGAGTCCGGCCGAGGACAGAAATGGAAATCAAGCATTATATCCGATCTTTTCTGTCATTTCTACAGGCTGGCGCCACAACTGTATCCATTGCCCACTACACAGCAATAGAATACCTTTTCGACGAAAGCCGCCAGGACGACCTACCGATACCCAATAAGTGCGAGTTCGGCACCACAGCTTCCCGGGAGTGTTTCCGGTGCCTTCACCATGCCTTCGGAGACCCGGAGAAATCCAGAAAGGGAAATGCCATGGGACACCACGGTAGCTCCTGGGAGTCAAATTAGGAGTGGAATCACCAGATGAAGCCAGCAGATGCTCCACCGGAAGTAGCACGGAAGGACCTACTGGAAGCAGTAGCCGAGTGGCCATATCTCAATTATGCGGCAGAATCCTGGGTCATTCATGCACGTCGGAGCATTGAAACTGCAGATCACAAATTCTGGAGCGACTCTACTCGCAACTGGTGGGAGCATCAGTTCTTCGATACAAACGATACTATACGACAGCCTTAGATTAAGATCCAAGAATGGAGATTTTGGCGGGGGATCAGACGCCGCTGGGTGTTGCGGTCTGCATAGGGCTCTTGCCACTAGTAGAAAAAGCCCTCTTAGGTTTCATTGCTGGGACAAGGGGCACGAGCAACAATCATTCACCCCTACACCTAGTAGTCAAGTCCATTTCCAGGGCATACAAAATCTTGATTGCCAAGGGCAGCCGATTCCTCCTCACAGCTCCAGATCAACATGGCAGCACGCCGCTGCGCGAGGCAGCTATTTCCGGCCATAGCCCCGTGCCGGTCGGCTTGGTGGACAATTTCGCAACACCAAAGTACAAGGCATACTGTGACCAAATCCACCAGCAGAACCACTTCGGCGATACCCCGCTTCACCTCGCTGTTCGGTTCGACCACCCAGATATAGCCAAGTTTCTGGCCGAGAAGCACGCGTACCTAACCATCAAGAACCATCCTGGGGTGTCAGCATCGGAATTAGGTGCAGAGCTCGGGGGAGGAGATAGTTTGGATATCTTAGGATTGGTCGAGGAGATCTGGAAGACTAGAAATGAGATTGTGGGGAAGATTGTGGAGGGGGCCGTGGAGGGGACTGTGGAGGAGACTATGGACAAGGCAGAGGAGGAGTTTATGAAGGATATGTCAGAGGCACCCGAAGAAGTCGGGGCCGAGACTAGCGGTATGGGTGTTAGAGAGAGCCAAGCCACAATCGAACCATCGCGGTTAAGTGGCGTCCCATTATACGTTGGGGTGATCATTGTCTGTTCCATCCTACTTACTGCATGGATGCGTAACCAAAAAAAAACACCCATTAGGAGGAAGAAAGGGGCTATGATACTATACGGCAGTTGTGCAGTAGGGACGGGAAGAACCTTTTCTCCAGCCCACGGCCTATCATCACAGTTCTAGACTAATATTAATGTGCTAACCGCTACTTGTATGCTTGTCTCTTTCATTATATATCATGAATCATAACGCCGAGACGAATTTTCATTTGGATGGTTGTACGTATCAAGTCGTGACTTCTTGGGCTCCTAGGGGTGGTGGTTTTCGCGGGCCTTGGCCTCTGCTTTTTGGGAGGGTTGTGATCATCTGTTTGTTTTTTCTAGGTTTTGGTTCGTTATTCTCGAGATTAGTGGGACTTGGGTTACTTGCGATATATCGTGGGCTCATTTTAGCTAACAAAGCCGGGTCGGTTACCAACTGTGTGAGAGGGCGTCGCAGAGAGAGGGTGATTCTAGTTCATTGGATCGTTGCTTTTGGTTGGGCAGTTTACCATGATTTTATGTTCCTCCCCGATCCAGTTTTCCCCGCTCGACGAATTTTTGAGCTCTTCTATTTCGTTAGGCCGCGTTCGGCACGCCGCAGATATCATACTGTGGTATGATATTTCCACCTTTAGGACTTAATTTTTCATGGCATCTTTGCATTTCATAAAGTGAAAGAGTTTGGGACACCACAGATATCGCAAGTATTTCCCCATTGCCAAATTCTCTCCTACATAACACGTATTTGGAGCGCCCCCCCCCCCCGCACTTTCGAAGCGCCCGATTAAAAGAAAAACATTTCGATGAAAGACTCTGCACTGTCGAACGCCGTTGTTTGTGAAAACACACCCATATTCCTACTCCAGCTGATAAGTCATTCTAACGAAATACAAGCGCCTTGCATAAAAAAGTACTATACTGTACAATGTACAAGTACTGTACAGAGCAGGGGGGTATTGACACCGATTTTTCTCAAAACTAGAGGTACTGTACGCTACAACCAGCTTGTCCGAAGACACAAGCCTCCCATTGCCCAACAAGAACCTGGAGAGTTCTTTTTTTTTTTCCCGGTATGATAAATGTATTAAACTAAAAGCTAGGCCCACTAACCTATAAATTATCTTTGTTTATAGTTGACTAGGAGATAGACATCCTCTCGGGGCCATGTTTCTTGGGCGTGCTGCACTACTGCTACTGAAATTTTGCATATGCACCATAACAAATAATTGACACCAATACTTTATGCCTCACTCTTTTATGTTGGCATGGTGCAAAGCGACCCCAACGTGTATCATAGGTGCCGAACAGAGCCTTATTATACCTCTGTGATAGCATTCTGCTTAGTCCGCCCCTGCATAGGAGTAGTGAGGTTGTATTGGACAAACTTTGCCGCCAACCATATTGTGATGGCGCAGAAACAGTCGAGTGACCGCATATGATTCTATCCTTCCATCCTTCCTTCGCCCCTCGATAATAAACAATATTCACAAAATATCCCAAAAATTCACCCCCAAACCACCTCCCTAACCGTAACAGGCATGCCCCCCCGGGGCTTCGCCGTGATGCTCCCCTTAACAACCAATTCCCTCTTCCCATCCTGCTCAAACTCGAACTTGCCAATCGCGGCCGCAAGCAGACACTTAAACTCCACCTTGGCAAACACATTCCCAATGCACCCCCTAGGCCCAGCCAGGAACGTGAGGAACCCATAATTGCTCTCAACGGTGGCCGTCCCATCCTCCCCGCAAGCCCACCGCTCGGGCCTGAACTCCTCCGCGTCGGCGCCCCACAGCGCCGCGCTTCTGTTCATCGCGAACGGGGAGATCACGATGGACGTACCCTTCGGCACGAACACCCCATTCAGACTCGTATCCTCGGCTGCTACGCGCAGCGTCACGCCGACAGGGGGGTACAAGCGGAGCACCTCGGACGTAATGTGGGAGAGGTACTTCAGGCTTGAGAGCTGGTCGTATGTGATGGTCGCCGGCGCGCCGGAGGGGAACGCGGCGTGGATCTCAGCGCGGAGGCGGGATTGGATGTGCCTGTTCTCCGGCAGGGATAAGGTGTGTATGGCCCAGATCATTGACGTAGCGGTCGTTTCGTGCCCGGCGGCTAGGAAGGTCATCATCTGGTCACGCATGCTGGACTCCCCGTCCGAGCCCGTGTAGGCGTTCGATTTTAGCATTACGGAGAGGATGTCTTTGGATTCGGCATCTTCCTGGGAGGTGGCCAGGGCGGATTTTTTGGCCGCGATGATCTGTGCGGTTACACGTCTTATTGTGGACGCTGCGTGCGCGACGTCGCGGGTTCGCTTCAGCGGGAGGGACTGCACGAGGAAAGCAGGAAATATCAAGGATAGGATCGCCACAATTCGGGATGGACTGCCCATGTTGAAGATTGTATTGTATGCGTCAGCCAACTCGGAGCCGGACTTTTCTTCCGGGCTACCGCTCACGGAAGCGCTCTCCAGCGCGCGGAATTCATAACCAAAGCCGGAAGAGCCGATTATATCCAGCGTCACCAATGAGCACCATTTCCCCATCTCCACCACCACCCCCTGCTCCCCCCCGCCAGCGCTCTGGGAAGCGCGCACCACCTCGGCCACTTTCTCCGTCATTTCCACCCCCTTGGACCAAAACCCGGGCACCAGCCCCTTGATATGCGCGTGCGAGAAGGCCGGCAACAGCAGCTTTCTCTGTACCTTGTGCTCCTCACCCTCCGCGAAAAGCAGTCCCCTCTTCCCGAGAATGCGGCCAATGTCGTTCGTCAGCAGCGTCGGCTTGATGAAGGTATAGCTCTTGGTGTGCAGCACTTCCTTCAGCACCTCCGGCGTTGTGGGGAACACGCGCTCAGTGTTGAAAATGCCCAGGTACCGTAGCAGTCCGCTATTCGGGATGGTGCGCAACCAGATGGCGTGCGGCCCCCCCGATTGCATTTTTTGGATTATGGCAAAGTTTCCCATCAGGAAGCTGGGGCTGGAAGGCCCCGGTAGGTGTCGGGTTGGCGAGAGGAGCTTGGGCCAGAGGATGACGCGGTATAGGAGCTTGCAGGTTAAGACTAGGGAGGTTAGCAGTATGAAAGTGGTGATCGCGCCGAACTGGGTGTGACGGGAGAGGAGTATGGTGGACGCGGCGCAACCCGCCAGGATATTGGTTGTGGACATGGTCAGATTGTGAGTGGGAGGGAAACAGGAGGGGCACCCGCGGTCAACGGTGGTAATGGTAATAGACGGATATTTCTCTCTCTCTCTCTCTCTCTCTCTCTCTCTCTTTTGCGGACGGGGAGGTAAGTGTGAAGAAATGCTTAAACAAATGTGTGGTGTGATCTTAGGGGAATATCGGGCGATTAAGTACTCGAAGGTATCATACTGCTTCCACACTTCCTAGTGCTCTCTCTAACCGCAAGCTGCCCCGCCCATTTCATCCCTTGGTCCTGCGACACTGAAGGCTTGACAGGGGTGGGAGGTTAGGTGCCAAGACCTTTTTGCAGGCAACCCTTGTGGCTCAGATGTGTTTCGTGCGTTTAACTCGGCTCAGCGCTTCCCCCACTCCCGGAATATTTGGAGTTTCGGGAGAATCCCTGCTGCCGGCAGCCTATGATAATATTTTCCCTACGGCAGCCATTTGTCCAACTCGACTTACTTCAACTACGGTACTGTACTGTACACCCCCTCCTCTACTACTACTAGTATTACTCATCAAGTAAACTGTAGATATAAAAGTACAATACCGGTACTGTACTCGTACAATATGGTACTTGTAGAAATTTGGGATATTTAAACCGTCCCAAAGGCCAAACCTTTTCCCTAGTCGAACTATCTTCTTTTTTTGAGAGAAAAGACAAAAAGGGACAACATCAACCCCGCCGGGGCAATTATCGTCCCGCTTGTCCCAAAAATGCCCGTCCTCTCTATTCCTTGGGCCAATTTATTCCGCGGACGAAAATGAAAACCACTCGAGTACAGCATGCCGAGACCAACGTCTCGGCCGACAGGCAGGCAAACCAGTTAATTTATTATACTAGTCACGGACGTCTGTGAAAAAGGACGGCCATTCCATCATAGACAAGCAGTAGAGTGCAGCACCGGTACTACTCGAATATCATAGTGCATCCGAAAATTGGGCAGAGCCTCTCAGAATTCTGGTAGTATTAATAGAGGCAACAGAAGTCATGTTCACAAACGTTTGAAAATCATCAGCGCAGGACACATAGGCTAGCTGCTCGAAGATGACACAACACACCACACTACGGCTACGGTGCACTCAACCAAGCCCTTTTATTCATATTTCCGCGCCTCGCCCGTACGATTCTGTCATGAGGCAGAAAAACGAGGTGGTCGAGTCAAGAAAGTTCACCACCGTACTCTTACTACACTCACGACGTAACTATTGCTGTTGAGACCTGGTTACACTACAGGCTGCACCCCGTTAACCGATTGGGGGAAGGCGTGCTACCAGTCATGAATCACTCCGCCTGCTCGTACTCGTATTCGAGTATTGATGGAAACGTGGTCGAGACGTACCGGTACTATCATACCGGTACCTACGAGTAGAAGGCTAATAACGCCTCCCATTCTTCTAAATGCCCCGCACATCCGCAGGGTCAAAAACGTTGATCACCCTGGTCGCCATCATGGGACCTCAGCGGCTCAGACTTGGAGCCAAAATTCCGTGAAAACTCGGCGAACGGGCGAAGGAATGAGGAAGCCCTAGCACCATTTTTGAGGTCGAACCTAATAAAAAATCCTTGCTTATGGGTTCGAAGACACGTCTCAGATTTTACCCGGATTCCCAGTAGAAGAGGGAGGGCTTGAACCTCGGGCTGCCGGTTATTGGAGAGCTGGGAGAGCGTGACAGCCATGACGGTGGTTATCATCACGTTGGGGATATGGTGATGGATGGGTACTGTACTGTACTGTACTGTACATAGTACTCGTAATGGGATGACGTTTGTGAACCCAACTCCTGTTCGCCTAGTATCTAGCGGGGCGTGAGATAGCGGTATGTATGATACCGGTAACGAGGGGCCCGGCGGGGGTGTTATTTATCAGAGTTATAGTGTGACTACCGTACTTGTACTATCGCTGGGGTACTGTATATACAGTACCTACGGCAGAATTGAAGCCGGAAACCTCAGCTGTCGATCCTCTCGGCCACGCAAGCAGTACCGGTAAGCTGGGCGCCGTAAAGGCTCGAATACCAGGATATTGCCAGTACTCGAGTAGTTCCCTCTCCTAGAAAAGCGCTATGCATAAACCTTTTGCTTTGACTCAACTCAACTGAGGGGTTGAGTGTAATGGCATAAGCTATGGTGCGAGAAGGTGAAAAGGGCGAGCTCGTAACCCCTGTTCGCACCATATCTCTCGGATAATCTGACAAGGTTGTCATGCTTGGTGGTGCACTTGGCAAGTGAGTGATAATTCATGCAGGTGTGAACAAGGAACTTAGACAATAAAACCCAGACTTCCGAGAAGTCATATCTCAACAACAAGATGGTAAAATAAGGAAAACAAAAAAGGAGAACCTATTCAACATGTTGACCAACCCTTCTATGGCTTTTATATTTCTTCTCTGAGCCATATCCTAAGCCATCACGATAGGCCTACTCAATCTTTTGAGTCTGCATCCCAAATTTCCAAATAAAAAAAACGAAATTGCATACTCTAAACCTTTAGGCACCCACTACCTAAGGTCACCTATTCCATACTTGCAGTTTTTCCTTGTATGTCACTTAGCCACCCCCCAGTAATACTCAATCCAGTTCAATTTACAATGAATGGTTGAATATAGAATAGCTAAATGGTCCTTTCTCATAACTACCTTTTCCACCAGGCCTTTCTGTGAACAGAAGTCCTCCTGTAGAGACATTACATTACAAGAACAGCATCCTCCAGGCTTGGATGAATCACAGCCTTTAGGATACTGTAGACACTTGTATCTTAGTCCACCTAAAGGCAATAAATCTCTCTCCTGTAAAAAGAATTTTAATTCTTTTATCTTAACCCTCAAATTCTCAGCAATACTATTTTCCTGAGAAAAATTCATAGTTTGAGTAATAGTAGCTCTATCCCTGTCCCTATACCATCAATCTCACAACAGCAGAGCTTCCCCTCCTGGCTCTTAATTCATGATATTTGCCTTAGGAGCATCTGGGGTAATAACCTTATGGCTTTTGGCATTATTGAAGCGGAAAACATCCTGACTGCCAGGAAAAGCTAGTTCAAATAGGAGAATAGCTGTATTATTAACTTGTAATAATAAGTTCTCAATATTCTACCAGGTATTACCCAAATTCAAGAGACTCAAGAGCAGTTTGTAGTAAATAGTATTCTGCAAGTTGAATATCAGAAATTGATTCTGGAGCAGCCAAAGGGGAGATTGGTGTAAGAAACTGAGAGTACATAATGCCCTTTCCATGTCCTTTAGCCCATAAAGGCATGCTATCTTTGGGAGTCCAGACATGTGTAGGACTATCATTGGTAAAGAAAATACAATCATCATTTCTTACTAGAACACGGCCTTTCTCCTGTAGTAATCACAATTTCTTCTTGTGATTTGAGTAGAAAACCATCCAGATTCCACTCCAGAAATTGTGGTTCTAGCCTTTTCAAAAGGGGCAAAAAGGTATTTTGACAGTATTTCAGCACATCAGACTGCTGATAACCATTTTTAAAGAGCTCTTTTTAACTTCCTTCTACTCATTACCTAGTTTATGAAGCTAGTTAATAGTAGAGCTTGAGGAGAGGCTCCATTTTCTTGCATTATTGTCTAATTCATGAAAAGCCAAAATGGTTTCCTCTACCAGTACTTTCGCCACATAGTCGTTGCTGGCATTGTACGTGGAATTGTCGAGTATAACCTTAGTCCAATGTGAGGTTACTGCATTTGTCAGTATTTAGAGTACATGGATCTGATATCTATGAAACACTCTAAGTAGGGTAACCTCTGTCAGACTTAGAATCTCTAGCCTCCAATAGGCTGCTCCAGTCCTCTAATATAACATGTTCACAAGTTGCTAATCACGTGTCAGAGTAAAGTACATTAGTCTGCAGATGGCCTACACTAGCAGAGAGGAGGTGAGGACTGAGTACAAAAGGAGGCTATAGAGGCGTACTGGGAAAAATAAAAAGTAACCTTTCAATCAATTATATTGAAATTCTATCTGTTGAAGTCTGCCCCCTGTATCATGGAATCAGGCGGAGTTTAAATACACAAATCTGATCATGTCTTGGATGAACGAAACTACTCAAAGGTATCAAGCAATACACTTTAGTATAACTACTTAAATAGCAAAACGATACTTAAAACGAATCATAAAATGAAACTAGGTATCAAACAATACCTAAAATAAAGCAAGTATCTAAGCGATACTTAAAACAAAACATAAAACAAAACCAAGTATCAAATAATACATAAAACAAAGCAAACTACCTAATTGAGTACCCCTACCGGTTACACCTAACAGGGCCCATACATCATTATAGATATCTATCTTAGTTGTATCCTGTGACTTGTAATGTTCCAAAATTAAAAGTGGTAGATTAACACCATATGTATTGCTGCCATCTATCTGTCTGAATCCTGTTCATAGAATATATGAGAGAGGACACTTGGCTAGGTCTAGGAGGTAGAACAGAGTAAATCTGTCAACTACTCAGAGAGTTCCAAGACTTGAAAAATTGGACATCTTTGGCAGAACAGTAAGTAACAGGATATTTCTGCACAAAGATATGATATTGAATATTAAAGGATCTTTGTATTAGGCAGAGACAACCTGATAGACTTCAGAGTTGACTAGGCTAACCAAGATTTATTTCTGTAGATGGAGATTGTCTTGAAAGGCACAGATTACACATGTTTGATTTATGACTCCAAAGATCAAAGTAAAGTAGGTAAAGTAGAATAGAATTGTATGAATAATATTATAGTGTTAAACTCTCATCTCCATTGCTTAATGATGTCTAAAAGGTTGGGAGGTACTTCGATATTTATATTCCGCAACTGAGTGTTCGTGGACTACATCTATATATTATACAACTATGTACCTCTCTGATTATAACTCACAGTTGAAGTTGAATGAGATGTGGGATCAACTATTGATGAATTGACTTCATCCTTTCAAAGCCAGATAATAGTAGGATACTGCTATCATCCGGTCTACTTTAAAGCTATAAACAGCACCAAGCATTATGATCTTGCCTCATATAACATATCTAATGGAATGCTTTATACAAG